TTGTTTCTTGGACTGGAGGCCTGTGACTAGTGGTGTGCCACAGGGTAAGTGCTGTGACCTTAGTTATGAGTTATTTAAATAAATGATCTGGATGTGAATGTACAAGGTATGATTAGTAAGTTTGCCAATGATACAATATTAGGAGGTATTGTTGATAGCGAGGAAGGTTATCAAAAATAACAGAGGGATCTTGATCAGATGGGGAAGTGGGCTGAGGATTGGAAAATGCAATTCAATACAGATAAGTGTGAGGTTTTGCACTTTGGAAAGTCAAACCAATGTAGGACTTGCACAGTAATTGTTATGGTCCTGAGGAGTGTTGTGGAACAGAGGCACCTGGGAATACAAGTACATGGTTCATTGAAAGTGATGTCACAAGTGGACAGGGTGTTGAAGAAAGCATTTAGCATGCTGGCCTTCATTGGTTGGAACATTGGTTGGAACATTGGGTATAAGAGTTGGGACGTTATGTTACAGTTGTAGAAGTTGCTGGTCGGGCCACATTTGGAGGAATGTGTACAGTTTTGGTCATCCTGTTATAGGAAAGACATTGTTAAACTGGAAAGTGTGCAAAGAAGATTTACGAGGATGTTGCCAGGGCAAGGAGGCCTCAGTTACAGGGAGAGGTTGGCCAGGAGAGTACTTTATTCCTTGGAACATCGGAGAATGAGGTATGTCCTTATTGAGGTGTGCAAAATCATAAAGGGACAGGTAGGATGAATGCATACAGTGTATTTTTCCCCAAGGAAGGCGAATTGAAAACTAGAGGGCAAAGGTTTAAGGTGAGAGGGCAAAGATTTAATAAGGAAATGAGAGAGTGATGCATATGTGGAATAGGCGATCAGAGAAAGTGGTTGAGGCAGGTACAACAGCAGCATTGAAAAAACATTTGAATAGCAAGGGTTTAGAGGGATATGGACCAAATTCAGGCAAAAGGACGTAGCTGAATCAGCGCCATGGTCAGCATGAACCAGTTTGAACTGAAGGGCTTTTCTCCATGCTGTATGACTGTATGACCTCAGACAACAATGGGACCTTGATCAAAAGGACCAATGGGCTGGGGAGTGTCAGATGGAGTTTAATCTTGATGAGCATGAGGTGCTACATTTTGTAAGGGAAAATCAGGGCAGGACTTGCAGACTCCAGGTCAGCTCCAGGGAAGGCAAACCAAAGGGTCTTAGAGTGCAGGTTCATAGCTCCTTGAAATGGAATTACAGATAGACAGGTCAGCAAAGAAGGCGTTTGATACACTTGCTTTTATTGGTCAGTGCGTTGAATGTACGGATTGGGAGGTCATGTTGCGACTACACAGAACATTGGTTAGGCTACTTTTGAAATACTGCATTCAGTTCTGGTATCCCCTTAAAATAGGAAAAGTGTTTTTAAACTTGAAAGGGTTCAGAAAATGTTTAAAAGGTTATTGCCACAGTTGGAGGCTTGGCCTTTCGGGAGAGACTGAACAGACAGAGCTAATTGGGGCTTGTTTTCCACGGAGTGTTGGAGGCTGAGTGATGACCTTCTCGAAGATTATAAAATTATGAGGGGCATGGATAGGGTGAATAATCAAGTTCTTTTGCCCAGAGTAGAGGGATCCAAAACTAGAGGGCATGGGTTTAAGGTGAGAGGTGAAAGGTTTAAAAGTAACCTAAGGTGGGCAACGTTTGCTCACAGTGAGTGGTGCGTAACTGGATTGAACTGCCAAAGGATATGGTGGAGGATGGGACAATTACAATATTTCAAAGGCTTCTGGATGGGTACAGGATTAAGAAGGGTTTAGAGTGATATGGGCCAAATGCTGGCAAATGGGACTAGATTAATTTACGATATCTGGTTGTCATGGTCGAGGTAGACCCAAGAGTGCTATACATCTCTATGACTGTATGACAGGAACAGATTGTGAGAGAGTAATAATCATTCACACTGCATAAACAGACTGGGACAAATAGATAACTGCACTCGCATTTTCACATAGCAGAGACTGACAGATATTGGGCAAACTATCCCTCAATAAACCTGAATCTCTTAACAACACAGTACTATTACCAGTGTAATGCGGAAATCACGGAGAGTGATGAAACAAAATAATATGTTACACACAAAAGATTGTCATGAGCAGAATAAAACACATTGCCACAATTAAAATCTCACAGGTACTGTGTTCAAAATATCATTAAATGACAATAACCAGTTCATTTTAGAGTGAGCTAGGAGTTTGATCCGTGCACAAAATTTGGTTTGTGTTTCGCATTTCGTTGCAGATCCTGACAGATTCACATTGTGTCCCACACTAATCAATCACAGTGAGGCTGATGTCATGGATTCATGTAAACTCCCCAATCAAGAACAAGGCTTTCCCCCATCCTTTATTAGCATTTCTGACGCCGTCAGGCTATAAAAAGCGAGCCCCGAGTCCGCTTTCCCTATTCTGTGTCTGAAAGTGATCGTCACTATGGTCGATGAGAAGAAAGCGCAGCCAACTTCCAAAAAGGGCACGAAGAAAATCATCAAGAAGGCGCCAGGCAAAGGCAGCAAGAAAAGGAAACGATCCAGGAAAGAAAGTTACTCCATCTACATCTACGAAGTGATGCAGCAGGTTCACCCCGACACCGGCATCTCCTCCAAGGCCATGAGCATCATGGACTCGTTCGTCAACGATATTTTCGAGCGCATCGCGGGGGAGACTTCCCGCCTGGCCCATTACAACAAGCGCAGCACCATCAGCTCCCGGGAGATCCAGACCGCCGTGCGGCTGCTGCTGCCCGGGGAGTTGGCCAAGCACGCCGTGTCGGAGGGTACAAAGGCGGTGACCAAGTACACCAGCTCCAAGTGAGACACTACATTGTACTGAGAAAAACACATCGAAGACCCAACGGCTCTTCTAAGAGCCACCCACACCTTCCCTGAAACAGCTGAACCAATTTAAGTTTAAAATGATTTTGGGTTTGTATTATTAATGTCCGTAGCCTTTGTTTTTTTATATATAATATGTTTTAGAAGTTAATGTGTGGTCCATGATCTTCTGCCGTTTATTTTCGGTTGCGGCCATACGCTGTGTCTTTTCTCTGCCTCTGCAGAGCATAATTATTGCCACTTAATCATTTCTCAGCAGCTTCCATTTTTTCAAGTTCCTCTTTAACATTTGATCACCCCGGGAAACAAAATTAACTTCGAATCCCATGAATAGATTTTACAATCTACTTGTTTTTCTTTTAATTTCACAATGAACCGAGATAAAGCCAGAGCAGCTGCCGAATTACGATAGCAAGTGTGAAATTGTGCCTGAAGTCTGATCAAGGACAATAGGGGAGGGCAACTTCAAAACTGTTGTTTTAAAGTTTGAACGCGATCACCCGGAAGAACATTGTGTGAGGTTTTGTCAATATTCGGTGTGCACTTGAAAAGTGAAATTTTAAAAAAAGAATATGTGCAGAACGCTTTTGTTTTTTTTTCTTTTTCCGCTTGTTCCTAACTTCAGAAAATTCTATTCAGATGCAGAAATGGACGGATTCGAGTAGACGAGAGAATGCGACAAAGAAAAAATGTGTAAAGTATTCATTTGTAATGTCAATGTAATTTAACTTATAAAAGAAAAGTTAAATTGTTCATTGTTCTTCCTCTTTTGTACATGTTGGACGGTTTTTCAAACAAATCGCGGTCGGTTCTGAACCCTGAATTCCAGCTGTGGCGACGAAAAAAAAGTGACCCCGTATTTGAGTTCCACGAATAGAAATATCTTGTGCTATCAGTTTTATTTCAATTTCCAAATCTCTCCGCGGGATTTGTTTTTTTTTCAAAATGCAGTATGTGGGGCTTTCTGCTGTCACTGAGAGGCTTTCAAAATGAACCGAGATCAACCGGAAAGTCTGATCTGTCACAATAAGTTAGGGCCACTTTACAAAATTGCCTGAAGACAGTGCTGCCTATTTATGCGCTCAACCGGATGAACGTTGCCTGATGGCTTACAATATATTGGAGAGCGTTTAAAATGTGAAATACAAAAACAGAAGATGCAGCCTGCGTACTGGCGCTTTGTTTTATTTTGTTTCAGCCTGTTCTCAAGATTCGGAAAACTCCATTCAAATCAGAAATGGGTGAATTCAATTAGGTCATGGAGTGAGATGGAGAGATGGAGTGAAGTTTCCATTTGTAATCTAAAAGGAAACTAAATCGTAAGCATTTATGCATTATTCTTTGTAAAACGTTTTGTCCATATTGGCGGGCTTTTCAAATCTGAAAGAAAACGGTTGATGATTTGGTGCGGATATTTTTCAACGGTTTCCACAGTGAGGAATTTTGTTTTATTTTCAAATCTCCCCGCGTGTTCCCTCCGGTTTTGCAGAAAGCTATAAATGAGGCTTTCTGCTGTCGGGTGGAGAATTTCAAAGTGAACCGAAATGAAACGAGAACAGCTGCCGGATTGGCATAGTAAATGTGGAACTATTGTTGAAGTCTAATCTAGTGCAATAGGGAGGGCGATTTTAAAATATTGTTCAAAGCATTAATGCGCTCACCCGGACAAAAGAAAAAAGTAGTTGTGTCATCCTTTTTTCAATATATCTGGGTGCTGATGTGAAATAGAATCTGTGCAGGGAACAGATTTCGCCAGGGTTTTTTTTTTGCTTCCGTTTATTCTTCAGGTTCGGGGAAACAATCCTTTCGTGGTCACAAAGAGTCAGATTTAAGTAGGCTAGGGAACGAGAGAGAGAGTTTGTGTGAAGTATGTCGGTGTAATCTAATAGTAAATTAAATCAAATATGTATGCATTTTTCTTTGTTCGACTTCTTCCTGGTTTGTACATAATGGCGGGTTTTTGGAGTTTGAAAGAAAGCGGTTGATGACTTGGCGCCGGTATTTTCCGGCCTCCTCCCCGGGCCCTCTCCGGATTGGTGAATGAAGCAGATATCTGATTGGGAATTGAAACAACATTAGGAGAAGCTAAACAATGTGGCCAATCATCAATGACCGCACGCCTCTTCCTCCCGATGGTATAAGAGGCCGGGATGTGGGCAGGTTGCAGCATTCTCTGTGGAAGTGCTTGTGCGATTGAGGCTATGTCTGGGAGAGGAAAGGGCACTGGTGGGAAAGCTCGCTCGAAGGCGAAATCCCGGTCGTCCCGGGCTGGCCTGCAGTTCCCGGTGGGCCGTGTTCACAGGCTCCTGAGAAAGGGTAACTATGCTGAGCTTGTGGGTGCCGGAGCGCCGGTCTATCTGGCTGCGGTGCTCGAGTATCTGACGGCTGAAATCCTCGAGTTGGCCGGGAACGCGGCCCGGGACAACAAAAAGACCCGCATCATCCCCAGGCACCTCCAGCTGGCCGTGCGCAACGACGAGGAGCTCAACAAGTTGCTGGGAGGGGTGACCATCGCTCAGGGTGGGGTGCTGCCTAATATCCAGGCCGTGCTGCTGCCCAAGAAAACCGCCGCTGGGGGCGCCACTAGAAAGTGAAAATACCGGGATTAAATCTGACAACCCAAAGGCTCTTTTAAGAGCCACCCACAGCATCTGTGAAAGAAACTAGTCCCTCCCCACTGTCGGAATGACTTGTTTGCTTTAATTGTTTGATGTCAGTTTTAGTTCCGTTGTTATTGGATACTCTTACTGTCACTGTGTGTATGATCTAACATGAAATGTTTACTAACAGCCTACAGTCGGTCACGTTCACGTTAAGAACGGAAGCCCATGGAGAGTGAAACGTTTATCATGCATTTATAGTAAATCGCAATTGTAATAGCGTTAGGATTGCATTATTTGTTCCTGCTCTGTAACGGCCTCTGACTTTAATCATCGTCCTATGAATGTATCTCTCTGTCTCACCGGTTTCATATTTCCTTTGATGGCATTTAGGAATACCCAATGTAGCAAGTACATTCAGTTTTAATGATGAGTGGTCACTCTCAACTTCACCTCGACGCTTTATTCTCGAGTACTTTCGTGAACAGACTCTTTCATGTCCGTCGAGAGGAGGCATAATAAAGGCCACAGTCATTTTCAACCACTTCTTTTGGTTCAATTTGCTCTTTAATACTCGATCAGTCAGAGAGCTACAAGCCCCGTTGGGATGTGACCTGAGTTTGACCCCTGGCAAACAAAAGAAGTGTCCAGTCTTTTAATCCCACGAATAGGTACACTTTACGCTTACTTCTCAACTTTCAAAACACCGAGGGCTTTTGTCCGCTTGCAGAATGCTGTCAGCAAGGCTTTCTGCTGTCTATTAGAAGCTTCCAAAATAAACCAAGATAAAACCAGAAGAACTGCCTGACTGCAACTCAGTCAAACAGCACAGGAACAGACGCTTCGGCCCAACCAGTCCATGCTGACCATAATCTCAAACTGAACCAGCCCTACCTGCCTGATCTTGGCCCATAACCCTCCAAACCTTCCCTAATCATGTACTTGTCCAGATATCTTTGAAACATTGCGACTGTATCCATATCCGTCAGTTTCTTTGCACGTTCATTCTACACAAAAACCACACTTAAAATAAATCGTTTTTAAATCTTCCTTCTCTTAACTTAAAAATATGGCCCCCTCGTCAAAAAGTTCCCCCACCCTATGAGAAAAAGATACCTATCCATTCAGCTTACCAACACCCCTCGTGATTTTAAAACTTCTATAAGTTCACCCCTCAAGCTCTTATACTCCAGGGGGAAAACAAAGTCCCAGCCTATTCAGCCTGTCCTTATAACTCAAACCCTCTATTTCCACCAACATCCTGGTAAATCTTTTCTGAAGCCTCTCCAGCTCAATAATGTCCTTCTGGAAACAGGGTGACCAGAACTTGAGATAATCCTTCAGAAGAGGTCTCAATAATGTCCTGTACAACCTCAACATCCTGTTCCAACTCCAATACTCAAAATTCTTTGAGGATGTGACGAAATACATTGATGAAGGCATAGCAGTGGATGTGGTGTATATGGATTTTAGCAAGGCATTTGATAAGGTTCCCCATGGTCGGCTCATTTGGAAAGTAAGGCGGCACGGGATTCAAGGAAATTTGGCTGTCTGGATACAGAATTGGCTGTCCAATAGAAGACAGAGGGTGGTAGCAGATGGAAAGTATTCAGCTTGGAGCTCAGTGGCCAGTGGTGCTCCACAGGGATCTCTTCTGGGACCTCTGCTCTTTGTGATCTTTATAAATGACTTGGATGAGGAAGTGGAAGGGTGGGTTAACAAGATTGCCAAAGACACGGAGGTTGGTGGAGTTGTGGATCGTGTGAAGGGCTGTTGTAGGTTGCAACAGGACATTGACAGGATGCAAAGCTGGGCAAAGAAGTGGCAGATGGCATTCAACCTGGAAAAGTGTGAAGTAATTCATTTTGGAAAGTCAAATTCTTGACCATGTGGAGGAACAGGGATCTTGGGGTCCATGTCCATAGATCCCTCAAAGTTGCTACCCAAGTTGATAGGGTTGTTAAGGCGGCGAATGATGTGTTGGCTTTCATGGGTAGGGGAAGTGAGAATAAGAGTTGGGAGTTAAGCTGCAGCTCTATAAAACCCTCGTTAAGCCACACTTGGAATATTGTTTTCAGTTCTGCTCGCCTCACTATAGGAAGGATGTAGAAGCTTTAGAGAGAGTGCAGATATTTACCAGGATGCTGCCTGGACTGGAGGAAATCTCTTATGAGGAAAGGTTGAGAGAGCTCGGATGTTACTCATTAGAGCGAAGAAGGATGAGATGTGACTTGATAAATGTGTACAAGATGATGAGAGGCATAGATAGAGTGGATAGCCAGTAACATTTTTTTTTCCCCCAGGGTGGAAATGACTATTACGAGGAGGCATAGTTTTAATGTGATTGGAGAAAGGTACAGGCAGATGTCAGAGGTAGGTAACAGACAGAGTGGTGGGTATGTGGAATATGCTGGTGGTGGTGGTACGAGTAGATTCAGATACATTAGGGACATTAAAGCAACTCTTAGAGGCATGTGGATGATAGTAAAATGTAGGGTATGCAGGGTAGTTTGATCTTAGACCCATTGCGGGTCGAAGGACCTGTACTGTGCTGTACTTTTCTATGTTCTAAGAGGTCTTAGCAATGAAGCCAGGCACCACGTTGTTGCAAACTTCAAAGAATTATATACTTGACCCATCAGGTTTCTGTTCCACAACACTACCCAAGGCCCTTCTTGTAATTGTACAAGCCCTGTCCCTGTCTGTTTTTTTCAAAAAATACAACACCTCAATAACTCCATCTGCCACACCTCAGGCCATTGACTCAATTGATCAGGATCTCTTTGTAATCTTAGATAACCTTCTTCACTGTCCACTATGCCACTAATTTTGGTGACATCTACAAAATTACTCACCATGCCTTCTAACTTCTCATCTAAATCATTTCTGTAAGAGATAAACAAAAGGGGACCCAGCACAAATTGGAATGGAACACCGCTAATAACAGGCCTCCAGTCCAAAAAGTAACTTTCCACCCCCTGTCTCCTGCCATCAAGCCAGTTTTGCATCCAATTGGCAGGCTCACCGAGTGCCATGCAATCTAACCTTACTATTTAGTCTGCCATGCAGAACCTTGTCAAAGACTTTGTGTAGGAGCGTACTCCTCCCCATTACCACGCTGCACGTCACCACCCTCACCCCGCCCCAGCTAGAGCCAAAACTTCAGGAGGCAGGCAGGATTCAGGCAACTGGAAGATGTTTATTGAAGAAGAAACCAGTTAAAGCAGGCAGAGGGCCAAAGGATCTTCCTCAATCTGGCCTCAATGTGAGAAGGCAATTTTTGCCTTAATCTACAGCTCAGATTGGAAGAGAGATCAATGACACAATCTGATTTTACAGGGAAGTACAGCATTTTTATACACTTTTTTACAATAATCAAGTGCAAAGTAGTCACTGTCCTTCCTCTCTAATCCAAATACCCAATCCCATGGGACAACTAATCAATCATGGACATTCCTCAGGACAGCACCAGGTTCTCATGAACTCAATGTTTACTCGACATTGCCATTGCTGGGCCTTGGGATATTTCTATGCATCCTATTAATTCACATTCCGTAAGTTATTAATTATACTCCTTCTGGTCTGTCCGTGACCTTTTTGAAAATAAATCTCTTAGAGCTGTTTGAATCTTGTTATTCTTGGCATTGTGCATGTCACCTTTTTCAAATTTAATCAATCCTTTTCTATTTCCCATCATCCTGTATATATAAGGTAGTTACTTTTTAAGTAATAGCTACATGATTAATTCCTGTTATAAGATTAGTCATAAAGTGTAACGTTCTGCAGCTGCTTTTGCTGCTAGCACTTTGTAACTCATGACTTGGACCAATCTATCATGTTCAGGGTGTGAGATAAGGCATGTCCTAAAGCTAAACTTTCACTTCTGGGTTTAAATGCTTTTTCCCCTACTGCTTGTATTAGCTTCTGGTTGTATGTTGTAACCTACTTCTGTGATTATCAGAATAATTCTTTATACAGAACATTTTTCTGAATACTATAGTTTTAAAAAGCTAATTACTGCAAAGTATACTTAGCTGTTGTTCTTTTTTGCAGCTGTTTAGGGAGTTAATCTAAGCTAAGATTTTGACCCTGGTGCTATATCTTTAGTGGAGCAACATCCTGGCATTAATGGGACTGGGGTCATTTGTCCATTTAGGCAATCTCTTATCAAAACTGTCTCAGATGATGAGCTACAGGGCCTTTGTACAACATTAGGTAGCTCTGTTCCAAGGTACTGTTATGTTTGGTGTATGCAGGTACAGGTCACTTTGTATGGACAGGTAGGGGTAAGCCCTACACTTTGCTAAAGTCCAAGTAAACGATGCCTACTGCTCTGCTCTCAAGCATCTTGGGTACTAACACAAAAATAATTCAATCAACTTTTGAGATAGGATTTCCCTCACACAAAACCATGTTGACTATCCCTAACTAATCCTTGAAAACCCCCACCCACCCCATACATACGAATCCTATCTTTTGGAATCACCACCAACAACGTACCCACCACATAATTCAGACTCACAGGTCTATACTTCCGAAGCTTCTCCTTCCATCCCTTCTTTAAAAGAAAGGTTCATAAGCCAACCTCCAGTCATGCAACACCTCACTGTAGTATTAGATGATACACATATTGCTGCAAGGGGTTCTGCAATTTCCTCCTTAGCTTCCGACAATATCCTCGGATACACTATATCAGATCCTGGAGACTTATTCAACTCGACACTTTCTCAGACCTCCAGCAGTTCCTCTTCTGTAATGTCACCTGTTTTCAAAATATCAATATTTATTTCCCAAGTTCTCTCACTTCTATTTCTCTCCCCCAGCAGTTTTTTTATTAATTGTTCGTTTCCTATCCCTTCTGTCTTCTGACGTTCAATACAAAGACTATGTCTTTGATTTTAAAGGGCATTACTCTCTCTCTCAAGTCACTTGCTTGCTTTTACTGATCTTGCAGAATCTCTGGATTATCCTTAACTTTATTGCCAAAGCTATCT